CTGCTCTCCTCTCCTCTCTCTCCCTATGCTTCTATATGCCACCATTACACATCACTAACTGTGTGTCTCCTCTCTCTCGTAGTGTGTCCTCTCTCTCTCCCTGTACCTTTCTGCAGGTTGCCCTGGCCCTGGAGCTCTACATCTCTGACGAGCAGTCACCGGCCACATCAACCTGACCAGTGTTTGATTGTTGTGTCTTGTTGCTTTTCTTCTTTTGTCTCTCCTCTATCCACTCACCCCAACCGGTCGAGGCAGAAGGCCGCCCACCAAGAGCCGGGGTCTGTCGGAGGTTTCTTCCGTTAAAGGGAGTTTTTCCTCCCCACTGTCACCAAGTGCTTGCTCAAGGGGGATTTGTTGGGTTTTCCCTATGTAATAATATTGATAACAGTAAGGTCTAGACCTTAACTTTGTAAAGTGTCCTGAGATGGCTTTTGTTGTGATTTGGCGCTATACAAATAAAATTTGATTTAATTTGATTTGATTTGATCCATACTGAACTGAGCACCATCAAAATATAAGAACTTTTATGCAAACAGAAAACTCATTCAATCTGTAGTTTTGAGTGTACATATATGGTTTGTGAGTGCAGAACAATTTGAGTGATTCTGTTCAAAATCTGTTCTCCTGATATTTTCCAGATGTTCTGGCATATTCAGAGCACTTGAGAATGTGAAAGTATCTTGGGTAATCCCATCCTGGCAAACATACCTCAAAAGGAATAAAGAAAATGATACTCAAAGTCTAACATGCTTCCTGGTCAAAAATGTTTTGCTCTCAGTGGATTTTGCATAAACGTAGAACATGAAAAATTAAAATTGAGAACAATCAGCAAAGGAATCTTGTACTACACTTGTGAATCTTGGGGGTAGTTAAGGGAATAGTTGGACGAGCCTACTTACTTTCTTGCCGAGAGTGAGGAGAAGAGATTGATACTACACTCATAACTGTTATGTATGTTGCTAGATCCTGAAGGATATTAGCTTAGCATACACACAGGAAACAGGGACACAGCTAGCCTTGCTCTCTCAAAGTTTAAATGCCTACAGCGGGTAAAATAAGTATTGAATACGTCATCATTTTTCTCAGTAAATATATTTCTAAAGGTGCTGTTGACTTGAAATCTTGACCAGATGTCAGTAACAGCCCAAGTAGTGCATACATACAAAGAAAACAAAACAAAAATAAGTTATGTGTAATAAAATGGAATGACACAGGGAAAAAGTATTGAACACATGAAGAAAGGGAGGTGCAAAAAGGCATGGAAAGCCAAGACAAAAGCTGAAGTCTATCAGTAATTGTCAGTGGAAATTTGTATCAGCTGGTTCAGTCCCAACTGATGGCCTATAAAAAGGTGTCACACAAGAAGCATCTCATGATGGGTAAAAGCAAAGAGCTCTCTCAAGACCTTCACAACCTTATTGTTGCAAAACATACTGATGGCATTGGTTACAGAAGGATTTCTAAACTTCCGAATGTTCCAGTGAGCACTGTTGGGGCCATAATCCGGAAGTGGAAAGAACATCATTTCACCATAAACTGGCCACGACCAGGTGCTCCTTGCAAGATTTCTGACAGAGGAGTGAAAAGAATTATCAGAAGAGTTGTCCAAGAATTGTTTCAAAGAAAACAATAAGTGCACTCTACTGCCCTGGCCTGTAATGCATGCTCACCACGCAAGACTCCATTGCTGCAAAAAAAGCATGTTGAAGCTTGTTTAAAGTTTGCTACACACTATTTAGACAAACCTGTGAAATACTGGGAGAACATGGTTGGTATGGCTTTTTTGGGGTGATGTGCTTTCCACTTGCCATTTGACCTCCAAACATGGTGTGTATTATGGCATCCAAAGAATTCAATTTTGGTCTCATCTGACCAGACTATAAAGTTTGGAGGTGGGAATGTCATGGTATGGGGCTTTTCAGCATACGGCACTGGCAAACTTCATATAATTGAAGGAAGGATGAATGGAAAAATGTACCGAGACATTCTTGATAAAAATCTACTGCTGTCTACCAAGATGAAGATGAAACGAGGGTCGACATTTCAGCAAGACAATGATCCTAAACACACAGCCAGGGAAACTCTCAATTGGTTTCATAGAAAGAAAATAAAGCTGCTAGACTTCACCTGTCTTGAATCCAATAGAAAATTTATGGAGAGAACTAAAGATGAGAGTTCATAGAAGAGGCCCACTGAACCTTCAAGATTTGAAGACTGTTTGTGTGGAAGAATAGGCCAAAATCACACCTGAGCAATGCATGTGACTAGTTTCTCCATACAGGAGGCATCTTGAAGATGTCATTACCAACAAAGGCTTTTGTACAAAGTATTAAATTAATTTCAGTAAGCATGTTCAGTACTTTTCCCCGGTGTAATTCTATTTTATTACACATAACTTAATTTCTGAACTTATTTGTTTTGTATGGTTTTGTATGTGTGGATTACTTGGGTAGTTACTGACATCTGGTGAAAATTTTATGTCAACAGCACCTTTAGAAATATATTTACTGTGAAAAATTGTGATGTGTTCAATACTTATTTTACCCGCTTTACACCTAAACAAACTACACACAACATGTTAATTAGTGAGGTTTAGAGATGCACTTTGGCATATGTTTGAACTTTGGACAGAGCCAGGCTGCATTGTGTACCTAGCTTCCACTCTTTAACTCTTTTCCACTGCTAAGCTAAGCCAACCCCCTCCTGACTCCAGCTTCATATTCAGTGTACACACATTAGTGTGAATCTTCTCATCTCCTTCTCTGCATAAAAGTGAATACTTCTCAAAATGTCAAAGCATTTCTTTGTTTGACACAGCAGTGACAAAATATATTATACCATATTATAGCTCATCATCCTCTGCATACTGTATGTATCATTCATGTGCTATTCAACAACATCCCTGTCAAAACAAAATGTTTTTGGCTTCATAGCTGCACAGGACCACTACATGTATATGTCACTGCCCACAACTGACCGGAATAGAGTGACACCTCCCAATTTAAAAGCACTTGCAGAATGGATTCATGATTTCTTAAAGCTTACTCTGCTTACTTTTGTAGCTCTAGTTGGGTCTTGAGTTTCTTCTTTGCTCCTTGGGTCAAGTCATACTTGTTTAAGTCCTCCTCTGTCAGTGCTAAAAACTGTGGGTTAAACAGGAAAACAGATTCAGAGCATGTTGTTAGGATCTCTCTCAAGCCAAGGGGTGAGAGAGAGGTAAGAAGGACCCAGACTGCAGTGTGACAGTTTAGATAAATGAGAAGGTTTTATTAACAAACTAAAACAGGGGAGAAGTGATGGTGGTGATGGTTTAGTCAGAAAGGACAATCCGGTTTACAGGAGGAGCATGTGGAGACAGGCTGATCCCGTGGAGTGGTGCAAGGAAGATGAGCAGCTGAGTCGAGCGGTGAGTGAGATGGTGGCAGTAGGAAGGCTGGCCCAGATGGGATGGTGCTGACGAGGAGAGCTGCTGGTGTGTGACGGCTGAATCAGATGATGAACTGAGGTGAGTGCAGATCGGCTGGCCCAGACGTAATGGTGTCAGCGAGGGAAGTTGCTGTTGCAAGCTTGTAGGAGGCAAAACTTTGTGGTCTAGGTACAACAACGAACCGGAGGTGAATGAGTGGAAGCCTGGAGGATATATAGGCCAGGTGTTGATTAGGCAGATCTGCCACAGCTGTGAAGCATTCCAGGAATACCGGTGTGTGCAGGGAGGGAGGGAAGGAGGGAGGGAGAAACAGAGAGAGAGGCATGGAGCAGAGCGCAACCCTGACAGGACCCCACCCCCCAAGGATGGATCTCAGACAGCCAAAACCAAAGCCCCCCTGAACAAAGGAACAGGGCAGGAGGTGGGGGACCCGGAGGGCAGGCGCCGACAAAAACAAAAACAACCCCTGCAACAATAAACCAAAACCCAAAGTCCCAAAAAAAACTGTGCACGCAGTCCAAAAGAAAGACACGGACACCCTACAGTGACCCATGAGTGCCAGGCAGGGGCGAAGAAAGACTGTTTGGGAGGACGGCTTTGACATCAGGCTGGAGAGTGGAGAGGCTGTTCGGGAGGTGGGCCTCTGTGCTAGCCAAGGTGCCAGGCAGGGGAGCTGAGAGGCCGCTCGGGAGGACGGCCTCGACGCCAGGCAGGGGAGCTGAGAGGGCACTCGTGAGGACAGACTCAATGCCTGGCAGGGGAGCTGAGAGGCCACTCGTGAGGATGGCCTCGGCGCCAGGTGGGAGGGCTGAGGGGCCGCTCGGGAGGATGGTCTTGGCGCCAGGCAGGGAACTGGAGGAGTGGTGCTGGCTGCAGCGGTGGTGGCTGGCTCAGGAAGTGGCAGCTGCTGGAGCTCAGGGACTGGCTGAAACGAAGGACGCAGCGGCAGTGGGAGCTCTGGCCAAGAAGAGAGCTGCGGCAGCAGTGGGAGGTCTGGCTGA